GATTTTAAAATGTAAATAATAAGTTCATAGCATCTTCATGAACATTTCATGAATATAATCCATCAATTATTCAAGGAAAAAAATCATGAATTATTCATGATCATGTCACAGGAGTTCCAATCAATTCCAGATATTATGACAAGGGCATGCTTTTAACTTCTGACAAAATACTTGCATTGTAATGATGTAATAAACAATCCATCAAGAAGAACATGCAGTGAAGAAAACTTCAGTCAAAATACCAACAAGAACACTAGCCATGTCGCCAACAAAAACACTAATCAAGTCAACAAGAAAAACTCCAGTCAAGAAAACTCCAGTGAAGTCACAAACAAAAAGTCCAACAGTCTCACCGAAAAAAAACCCCTGCCAAGTCACCAGGAAAAACTACAGATGAGTCACACAAAACAACTCCAGTGATGTCACCAAGAAAAACTCCAGTCCAGTCGGAAAAGAAAACTCCAGTCAAAGCTGTTGAACCACCTACTTGAAATTTAGAGTCGCCCCCTGCAGAAGCAACATCCTTCATAATAGGTCAGGGGTTAGGAATCCTTAATGAAGATATGAATTATGCTGTGGACAATGGCATAGAGACTGAAAATATAAGTGAAGAATGTGTGGACTTAACTGGCCAGAAAAAATGCCGTAAATTAAAGTTTCATAAAATGTTCATTTCTTTCCATCATATAAATCCCCAATATCTTAACCGTATATTCATGGTACAGATGTGAATTTAAAACGCTCTTTTCGAGGTAATCTAAATAAATGTTTCAGGCATGGTGCCTGAAGATTTCTTGAATATCAATAGATAATCAGGATCACGCGTTTTTCATCGTCTGAATACATAGCCAGCGCATGTTTGTCGGCTGTTCTTAAGAAAACTGTAGTTGTATATTGAACAAAATAATGTCATATTAAAAGAAGAGCCGACAAACGTGCGCTCACACTTAATTTAACACAAAACATTCTCAAAACAAACTTCTCGTTACCATTGTTATGACTGAGTTAAACTTGATTTGACTTCGATTGACCTGTGAAATATTACAATTCATCACGTGACGTCCACCTGCGAGTGAAAACAGTTACATTGTATTCTTCAACCTGACCTCGATCTAAATCACGTCTTTGAGCGTGTTTGGTTGCCGTTTTCAGAATTTAGCAAATTAAATGTTTTAATTTTGTGTGTCCACACATTTTTTTTTAAAATTTCATATTGACATTGCTGTAATATGCCATACACATATTCTCTCTTTCTAGAGAGAGAGAGAAATGGGAGAGAGAGAGAGATGTCAACAATGACAGCGATCGATAGCCCTGCCTCCTATTAATATTGATTATGTGACATAAAAACCACTCCGGGTACATGCCAAATTCCGGAAGACGACACTTATGTATCGTTGCTTCAATTTTGATTCATGGCAACAGGACATTGTTTTGTACAAATGTTCTATCTAATATAACCATATATACATAACTCTTTCTATTGCTTGCAATATATTTTGGATTCACTTCATTTACAGCTTGGTAAAGTAGTCACAAAAAGATCCAAAATAGGGCGTTAAGTCCACTCATTCTTTGATTTTATGAATATTATTAAATAATAAAATCAATGTCCATTTCTATTACCTACTAGTATATTTATGAATTTTCTTTTGTTATTCCTAATGTGTGAAAATTATGGTAAAAATGTTGAATTTTTGTATTTTGTTAAAATTTTGCAGAAAGTTAATTTTTAAAAAATAAATTCACTTGTGTATTTTCACAGAATTGGTGATCTCATATTTATTTAAATGATTTGCATTTGAGATACTGTAAACCAACTTTTATTTGTGTGTGAGAAATTTTTGTGAGAGCCTCGTCATCGCGAATATTTCTCGCCGCGAACCGGTCCTTAAAGTCTCTCTTTCTATTAACAACAGATCAAAGAAAGGCTTGATCGCGAAAATTAATCATCGCGAACTACTTTATCCCCGGTAAATCGTGAAATAAAGTCGTCATGAATAAAAGTTGGTTTACAGTACTTGATCCATCCTTCACTGAATATGGGTATAATGCAGCACCTTGTTTTCAACCAGGGCAACCCAAGGTAGTTCAAATTTCAACATTCCATCAGACCCATCTCCACTGGACAACCTCACAGGTATTTGCATTATTAAAAGTAAATAAAATTGATTGTTTAAATAATGATGATTGATGTTGTTTATTCATGTTTATTGTTATACCTTTAAAAATTTGTTCCTTTATAAATCAATACTAATAAAAGTCTAACATTTCCAATGTTTCACTGAGCGGGCATAAAAAAATTGATGTTTGACCGCGGAGTGAGATATTGAACCTGTCGATGACATGTTGGACCACTTACGTCACATAATGGACAGGGTCAGCTAAACCTCATTTGCATTTGTTGGTGTTCGACATACATATATGTCCAAAAAAAAGATAAAATATATAAATATAAGGTATAACAAAACATTTATTGACTGTGTTCTTGGACAAAATGCGTTTTATCAACCTCTCGAACCAAACTGTCTGCCTTCGGCCTAACGGCCTCAGACAAACAGTTTAGTTCTTGGGTCCGACAAAATGCATGTTGCCCTCGAACCCAGTCAATAAATGTATAATGTGTATTTCTACATTTATCTATAAGGGTACTACAGAGGCTTGAATTATGACCAGCAATGTCAAATCCTGTCATTCCTTCATGTGCTGACAAATTCACTACAGAATTACACCTATGGTGTAAATCCAAACTCAAATGGAAATGATAATACACCAATCATTGGAACACCAGAGGCCTGTTTAACAGCCCTAGCACTCGCAAACATTTCTGTTGGAGGTATAAGGAATTTTGGCGAGCGCTCGCGAACGTTCGCTCTGTTGAAAAGGCCTCAGGTCCATCATATCCATCATGTTCACAGGATGTTACCCCCCTCAGTTGAAACTCCAACTGTTAAAGAGCCTGAAAGTAGGACTTAAGCTGTCAGTTCTATTTCTAACATTTTCTTTATATATGATACTGTAAAACATAACAGTGGTTTAATTTCACTATGTTTGCACTCAAAGAATAATATGTTAAAGCTGAACACGCTTCGTAAAAAGAATGTGTCCGCCATATTCGATTTGACTCCAGCTATAACTGAGGGTCCCTTTATATAGAGCCGCTCACTTGGTCACTGTTCAGTGTAATCAATCGTCACCGATGTAGACGGACGTATGCTATACAGCACTTGGTAGCAACAAAAATAACTGTGTGCTTCTTCTAATGCAGGAGAGTAAGATACCAAAGACACTTACAACAGTTGCACAGGTCAGTGCAGTATATAAACACAAATATATGTAACTGCAATAAAATGTAAACAAAGGGAATGCAACCAGCATGAACACGGGTGGCCATTCCACGCCGATACCCATGACAATAAGGCAGTCAGGTGTAACGATTGCGAAGAGTATACCCTGGTGCTGATATATATCAAAGATAGTAATATCGAAAATGGCATATGCCTATTTACGAGTCATGTTCAGCTTTAACATAGAAAATCATGAAGTTTGAAAACATGGAATTCCAAGACATTTACAGTAATTAAGCAAATGTATTTAATTAAAGTTCATAAACCCTCTGCTCACTCTTATAAAATATTTCTTTCACTCTTATGATTTTCCAAAAGAAAATACAATTATAGCATAGCTTGCAGGGCAAAATTGGACAAAAAAGACACTTCAACTTGACAAATTCATAAAGGGATAATACATATTTATGTCATTAAGAGTTATCTCTCTTATCAGAGTATCAATGAACCTTAATCATGACCAATACACTTAAATATGTGTGTGTGTTTTGTTTTGTAGCATTTGTTGCCACTGATGAATGATGAAAATAATACATTCGGCGATGTTTTGTAAATCCATCGCAACTTAGGACAGCCGAAATGAAGGTAATGACAACTTCAACAACTAAAAATGGTGGCATATATCTTCTAAATAAAGTTGTGAAGATGGTATTTAAAAAGGAGGAGCTATGTAAAAGTAAAGGTGTGAAAGGTCTGGACCAACACAAATTAGAAGCAAACCAAGGTACTGATCCAATCGTTATACATTTCAAGCAGTCATGACCTCTAACTTCTATTTCTTTTAAAAGATTCATTTATATCAAATGACATATATCTTATATTCATTTTTATTTCTTTCAGGGTTAGAAACTCTCTAAAATTACAACTCACAAATAATTGCGAGTACCAAGAAAGTGAACTCGCAATTTTATCAGACTACTCACAATTTTCATATAAAGTTAAATTTATATAAATTAAATACATGTAACTTAAGGAAAAAGTAACTACTGTACAATAAATAAAATACAACTACAGTGTGACTTTCATTTAAATGATTTAAATCAAAAGCATTGTGTTCTGTCATATTATATAATTTTGCTACAGTTTCAATGCAAAAAAAATCAACTCCCAAGTTTTTGCGAGTTACTTAATTTTTAATTCGCAATTTGGGAATTCTAACTCGCGTTTTGTGAGTTGTTGTGAGTTGTATATAGTGAATTTCGAACCCTGTCTTTCCACCTGTTTCACCAAGTAGGAAAGTGATGATGAAGACCTGGATTGGTGAGCTACATGTACTATGAGAAATCCTCACAACAAGCCATTTAACTCCTTCCCTACCACTGATGTATATACACGCTTATTTTATCTTCTCTGTGCTCGCAGTGACTGATAAACCCGTCTGATTTTACTACTAGCTAAACCGCATTGTCGTATATATCCGCTGTAAACAAATACATGTGCAATAGTACTGACTGATATATCTGCTTTTTTACATATGTTACTTTAAGTGTGATTGGTTAGTTTTGAAAGGATTCCCACCTCTGGGTCAATGAAAATAGTTTTAGGAAAGATATATCTGTAATATAATACGTCAGTTTTCCATATTTGGTTATCTATTATTAAGTATAAAGGAGATTTCCAAAGTGTTGTTTACACTGTTAGAAGCAAGTCAAGATGGCGGAAAACATACTTGATATATTTCTATCGGGCGATGAAGATTTTGAATTTGAGGGATTTACGAGATCAGAAATAGATGCAACGGAAACAAGAAGTATCAGAAGTGATATTTCTTTCTCGGATAGTGATGATTCCTCCTCATCTGAAGAGTCCGAAGAGGAAATAGACGAGGAAACTTGGACAAGGATGCTCTCCAAACCAAACGTTGTCGAATTTAGAGAGGAAGTTGGAGCAGCTTTTGTGTTAGAAGAAGACAAGAAAGAATTAGATTTCTTTCACAGATTTTTCCCTGTTTCTTTGGTCGACAACATTGTAGAGGAAACAAATCAATATGCAGCGAGATGCATTGAAGCAAGGCTGGATAAAATTTGGACCCCTACAACATTTCTTGAAATGATGGCCTTTTTGGGAATTCACCTAGTATTTTCCGTCTTAGGCGTTCCCTCGTACACCCTTCCATGGAAGTCTCCTGGCCTTTTCAACTTCCAAGCATACCATCAATCATGACAAGGACACGTTTTGAGAGACTTTCCAAGTACTTTCACATGAAAGATATCAGACAAAATCCACCTAAGCGGTGACCAGGACATGACAAACTTTGTCACATTAGACCAGTAATTGAAAAAGTTTCAGAGATGTGTTTGGAAAACTACCACCCTCATAAAGAGCAGTCCATTGATGAAGGAATGATCGCATTCAAAGGAAGGTTGTCCTTCTAACAATATTTGCCAGCCAAACCTACAAAATTTGGAATAAAAGTGTAGGAGCGTGCTTCACCGCACAATGGATATGTACATGAATTTCAAGTGTACACCAGACGAGTTGCAGACAGAAGACCAGAAGAAGGTTTAGGGGCACGTGTAGTGCAGGACTTGTCCCGGAAATTGATTGGAAAATCACGTGATTTATATGGACAATTTTTTTTCAAGCCCAAAACTATTTGAACACTTGTTACGCGAAGGAATATACTGTTGTGGCACTGTCCGAATAAATCACCGTGGAATGCCAGAAGCCGTCAAAAGTGCCAAATTAAAAAACAGAGGAGAAAGCCTTACTATGCAGAAAGGGAACCTGGTAGCCACAGCGTGGAAAGACAACAAGATCGTGACCTACCTCAGCACAAACTGTGATCCCACACAGACCAGGGTTGTTCAAAGGCACCAAAAGGACGGGACCCTAAAGGACGTGTCAGCTCCAAGTGTATCTGAACTCTACAACAAATACATGTTTGGCGTAGACTTGGCTGACCAAAAGAGGATGCAGTATTCCACTTGCAGAAAAGCCAAGAAATGGTGTAAGTACCTATTCTGGTTTTGTTTTGATCTTGCTCTTGTCAATGCCTTGATTTGTATGCAAGAGTCCCCCAACCACAAATTGGTGACAAAAACAAACAAGGAAAAATGGAGAACACAGATAGATTTCAGGATGGCATTAGCCCAGCAGATGATCGGAACATACAGAGGAAGCCGAAAGCGAAAAGCACCAGCAGTTACAGGAAACTGTGGAGATGCTCACTGGCCGATTCAGTTCAAAAAACCTGGGAGATGTAAGGGATGTGCTAAACATAACAAGAGACACAAAGTCTCTACTGGATGTAGACAATGCAATGTTAGACTTTGCATAAAAAATGACTGCTTCTTTAAGTACCACCAAGAACTGCTGAAATGAATTAATTATCTGATTACACCTACAGTGTATATTTCAAGAAATGCTGTGTAAATATTGTAAATAAATGACATTTTTGATGTAATTAATTAAATGTTTTGGAATTATAAAATTGAATTCATAAAATTGAAACATTAATGATTAAAAGACTTTGAATTTTCAAAATATTCCAATAAATGAATGAGATATTAACATTTTTATGTGTGTACCATTCATTCCCGCAGCAAATCTTGTCAGCTGTAAAATCTGTCGGGTAATTAACCCTCACACTGCTGCTGCAGTGAGAGATAAGTGATGTGTGTAGTAGTGAACAGCTAGAGCGGCTGTGGTAGATAAGAAGTTAAGGAACCAGTAGGTGCTACATTTACTGTGTAATTTGGAGAAGAACTGGATTTTGTTTAAATTCTTCCCAGAAAAAATATTCTGACTTTTGGTCGGAGAGACAAATGTATATGCTAGGAAAGTACAAGAAACAAAAACCTGACCATCACTGGAAAGACGTAAGGCTTAAGGAAATGAAGGCATATGTTTTGGAATCATGTACATTTATATGGTTTAGTTGCCCTCTTATTCTTTAACCTGGACAAGCATGTGGCTTTTTAAAAATTAATCTTTTAGGTTCCTCAAAATATGACTAGAACTTACTATGAGAAACTCAACAATTCTTGCAATGATGCAACTCGAAATCCCCCTCATAGAACTCCAGGACATGACAAACTCTGTCATATTTGTTTAATTATCGACTGTGTTCTAGATAAATGTTTAAGAAATTACAAATCCTTTCTTGGAACAAAGCATTGATGAGGGAATGATAGCCAACAAATGAGACTTATTAATCCTTTTCCTGTAAAAGCCGCAAACTACTTTTGACAACCTATTTTAGTCCACAACCTATACAAGCAAAGGACAGAGGAAGAACAGGCAATTTGTTAAAGTGTTTGGCAAATTCCAACATATATATGTAATTTTTTAAACTTTTTATGTTTGTCACCAAATTCTGCCAAGCAAAGAATACAGAAATACCACCAGAAGAGACAACAGTGTTGTGAAATTGGAAAGGAATTTATTTTCTGAAGTTCTGCATTTTGTAAAAAAAAAAAAAAGAAAAATGATATGTGATAAATATGAATTCTTGGCATTAGTGAAGATGATGAACCATAAAGACAATGTTTTGATGAGAACCAGTTTGCCGAGTTCAAGCAGGATACATAATGGTCCTTGTAGCACCATCTGCTGGACAACTCAGAGCGGTCTCTGTGACTCAGATAGCCAAAGACTGTGTGTGCAAAAGAATCAATCAATAATGATCTATCTTTTGCTTCAGTTCTGCCAAACCGTGTGGAAAAGGAGTAATAAGACCAAGTGATAATCCAAGTACTTGCTACTGTATCAAAATTTTCAAGTTTTGAGACAAAAGAAATCTAACAATCTTGTCAACAAACACCAACCAAGGAGACCAGCATGTAATAAGAAAACAGAAAGATAGCACAGTAAGAAATGTGTCATGTCCAGCAGCTGTAAAGCTATACAATACACACATTAATGGAGTTGATCATGCCGATAAACTAAGATCAACTTACAACATAGCAAGAAAAAGCCTAAAATGGTGGAAGTACCTGTTTTACTTCCTATTTGATATGTGTATTGTGAATGCCTTCATCTTGATGAGAGAGTCAAAGAATCATATAATCAAAACCAAAACAAACCATTTTTACTTCTAAAAGAAAGAAAAAATCAGACTTCATTGAAGAAGCATACAAAAATCACCACTGGCCATGTACCATGCCAATGAAGAGGAGATGCAAACAATGTGCAATTCAAAGAGTTAAGAAGGGAACCGCTGCTCCCAGTGCAAGATAAACTTGTGTAATGATTGTTTTAAGCCATATCATGCGCAAAAGTTTGAGGCAATATAAAGACAATAAAAAAAGTGAACTTGTTTATGTGTTAGTGTACGTAAATAATGGATTTAATACAACTTTTTTTTTTCACATACAAATATTAATGCATTTATTTCAAGAAAAAATAATTTTTATATCACTAAATTCAGTAAATCTTCTTTATAACCTGAGAATATGAAAAACATGTGTCCATAAATAAAGAATTAATAAGTCTTTATCTAACGTGTTGTTTACTCATCAGCAGCAGGGAGTCAGATAAGAATTTGTCTGGGGCACAAGTCGCAAATCGATACTGGGGCTTATCTTAGATAAGGCAGCTGGGCTGAATGAGTTAAAGATTAAGTAGATGGAATGTATTTTTTGTGATTGACAGTACTTTCAGGTGGGTTGTGATGAATGGGATATATTTTGATGCCACTTTGACAATGTTTAAATGTCTAAGCCTTCAGATATTTTCAATGAGGAAATGGTCTTGTTGTAAATGTTCAACATAAATTAGTACATTTAATGAGAAATCACCATGTTTGACTCTCTTGAAGTGACCAAAAGACTTCATACATCCTTCTATTTTTTGTATCAAAGACATTAAATGATATAAGAAATCCAACAAGACAACATCTTTGGCATTATAAATTGTCCCATACCATACATATTCTAGAGAATGAAGACAGCAAATAGGCCCCATAAAGAAGCTTCAATTTATGAAGGCTTTTCTTTTCCAATCATTTTCCTTTTAAGTTTCTTACTAATTTACAGGGTTACAGACACATGACTATCACAAATTCAAGCTGCAGATCATTTGTGCAATTAAAATTGAGAAAAGTTTTTTAACATAAATTCATTTTAAATTGCACACACGTCTAATCATGCAGATCCATCCATTTAAACAAGACAAAGGAATCTAACAATGGAGTACAAGAAAGGTTTTGGGATACAAGATGAATCTTTCTGGAACTGTTACTTACAATTTAAGAGGGAGGAAAATATTCAGACACCTGCACTGCCACCTGATTATTTTGGCTTCTGCCTAACAATTTGTAACATACAGGAAACTGAAAGATTGGTTACAAAATTGTACATATATGAATCAATATATGTTCATTCAGATAAGATCATTAATAAGAAAACTTTTATAAATGAATTTTAAACTGCATACACATCTCAACAGATCCATCTATTTTATAAGACAAAGGAATCTACTGGATGGAGCACAAGAAAGGTTTTGGGATACCAAATGATTCCTTCTGGAACTGAAACTTGAAATTTGATGAAATAGGAAAATATCTAGTTCCTGCACTGCCACCTGATAATTTTGGCTTCCATGTTGCAATTTGTAACATAGATTTGGTTGCAAAATTTGTTGTATATGAATCAATATTCCTTCATTTAGATAAAATAATTAACAAACTAGATGTTCATAGGACATGAATGCCCTGCCAAAGGATTATTTGTAGTAATGCAACATAAAAATTTAGATAAGTGAATGATTTTTGATGAAAATATCTTGAATACTTTCTTTAAAATTGAGGGTAAAATACTAAAAGAATAAGTGGTTGGGACTTCAAAATCAGTTCAACATATCCATGGTACTTGAGATATCAGTGTTCGAGATATCGAAGTTACACTGTATGTATGCATCAGTGAATGAAGTTTCTTTAAAACTGAGCTAAACACTAATTTAACAACTGAGGTCAAGGTCAAAGAAAGGTAAATGGTGATGCAGTTGAATAGATTACAACAGTACGTACAGTGTATCAGCATATGAAACTTGATAACACTATCTTAAATGGTTTCTTTAAACTGAGCTAAACACTAATTTAGGAAAAGTGAGGTCAAAATCAACACAGCAAAAGTTACAAGTTGTAATCTAAACATTTTTTTTTATTTTTCTATGACAGAGGTTTGCTAATGCAAACGGTATAGTCATGCAGGCTTCAATGTCTTATTTATTCAAAACCTGACTATGTAATAAAACAATTAAGGACTCTTTCGGTGGTGAATATGGTTTGTTATTCACCAGAAAAATATCAATATTGACCTCAGCTTAGCCTCGGTCAATATTGATATTTCTCTGGTGAATAACAAACCATATTCACCAACGAAAGAATCCATAATTGTGTAGTGTTCAAACTCAAAAGTCTATTCAAACAATACAAATCAGGAGCAGAGCAAACACGGACCTCTAAAACATCAGAGGTGGGATCAGGTGCCATAAAGGAGTGAGCATCCCCTGCCGACCGGTCACACCTGCCGCATGCTCCTTGTCATGATCAGGAAATAACGGAAAAATCTGTTGACAATTTCAGTGTGTAAATAATGGCCTAACAGTTGGTATGATATCTAATATAAAGACATCAAAAATATGGTAAAGTTCCTTGCCATTCAAATACATTTTGATGACAAAAATTCTTTGCACTACTTTTGCACAAAAAAGTAAAGAGAACGAAAGAAATCTCTTTTTCCACTCTGTTTGAGAATTCTTCAGCCTTTAACTCCAGATATGTTATAATTTTTTTTTAAACAGAAAAGACTAGAAAACTGACCAGTCAGCAAGGGCCCCGCGAGGGGTAGAAATATAAGGGTGCAGCTAACAGAATGAGAATTCTAAATGATTACAAAAATTTAAAAATATATGAAGAAGAATATGCAATAACAACTGTATTTATAAAATTTCAAGATAATTCCTAAATATCCAACAACCTGTAAAGAGTATCCCTGTATTTACATAAGGCAGTAAAAATCATCACATCTATAATAACTCAATTACATGTATATTTAAACAAGAATACAGCATGTGTTTTCAAATATCACCCAGGCTTGACCTTAACTTCAAAACAAACATCAGTTGCAGACAAAGGTTAATTTATCTTAAAGTGACAAATAAAGATAAGCCTGGAAAATCTTCTGCCCCAGACAAGATAATTAATCCCAAGGGATTAATTGTACTGCTCTCTTATCCTTTTCTTCCAAGTTTACAATCAGAACTCTTTCAGTAATGATAGAATGAGATTATTATTGGACTACCCATTATAATTAATAGATTTCTTGAATTTACATATGACAGCCAAAAAGAATGAATAAATAAAATAAATAAATAAAAACAAAAAAAATTTTAAAAAAAACATATCTTTATGTTTATCTTGTTTTTAGAATTCAATAAAATCATAACTCATTGCATATTTTACCAAAATAAAGTATGAACATTATTTAAATCCACATTTCAGAGAATGTAAGCATCATTCAGAATTGACCTTAACTTCAAAACAGACTTCATTTGCAGACACAGGTTTTAATTAATCTCAATTTGACAGAAACAGATAATGCTTTGGATTTTCTTCAAGAGGAAAGTTAATTAATCCCATGGGACTAGTTGCAGCTTTCATAGTTTACAATAGGAACATTCTCAGCAGTTATCTCTCTCTGCCCTGGCATTCATTCCAATGTAAAGTTAAGGAATCTACCCCACCACCCCAGCTCCAAATTGGATGACATAGAGAACCAAACTTAGCATCAAAATATGTCTTACTGCCTCCTCAACCAACATACCAAATTTGAACTGAATTGGTCAACTACAAAAAACGTTATTAGAAAAAAACAGAAAATTTGTGGATGGAAGAATGACAGACGGACAGACAGACAGAGTGATTACTCTAGGGCACCCGCAAATCCTTGCGGGGCCCTAAAAATATAGACCTGAAAGTGTCTAACAAATAAAATACAGCCTGCCAAGCAGCTTGAAAAGGGATGGGGTGGGGGCGTTCCATCCTGAAAACCCTAAAAATGACCAGAGTTAAAATATGTGGAAAAATTTTCACCTTCAGATTTTAAATTATTTTTTATTTGCTTTGTCTCTTTGAATGATTCAAAGTTTCTTAGTGTCATGTCTATAAAAAAAAAATTGGTTACTCACATATTTTGCCATTTGAGTCACATTGTGCCCAAATTTATCCAGATGTGTAATTTTTTATTTAGGTGAACAGTTTATCCTTTTCACTTTCATTTTTTTTTTTTTTTGCTTAAGAGTTTTATAAATTCCTACCATTCTACAGATTTCAGCTTTCCAATGTTACAATGTTATCATTTTATTACATTATTTTGTAATGTCTTTAATTGCACTGTATAATTACAGAAAATAAGTTTACATGAGTTCATATAAATTCATTTTTTTTAAATAACAGAGTTTTGAAGATGATTGATGACTAATGTGTTTTACAAATTAATGATGATCAAATGTTCAGTACAAGCCTTTAATACACATATTTTTTTTTAAATATGCCAACAGTCAATTATTCTTCAGATGAACAAAACATGGTTCCTGATACCCTGTTTAAGTGTGGTGAAGTTAATTTGAAGAAATTGTCACTGAAATTTTTTCTAATTTTTTTTTTTACACAAGCATCATTTTCAATATGCAATTCTTAAAATGAACACATACATGGTTCTTGATACTCATCTATGTTTTGTGAGGCTAACCTGGGAAACTGCCATTGAAAATTTTTAAACTTTCAATGGGTACAAATACAGATAAATGCAACTTTTTAAAAAAAATATCTTTAAAGTCAACATTTTAAAGATTTGAAGATTAAGACTGCCTCAGATGATAGCCTAAAGCCTCAAATCTTCCAAGATTACATACCATTTATAATGAAATATATACTCAACTATAAATTTGGACTCAAAATAAGTCTACACAAAATGTGGCATAAAAAATACTTTTACTAAATAGTATTATAAAAAATCTTTATGATTACAAAATGGCTATATTTTTAATTTTTTGGTCAAAACTTTCCAACAATAATTGTGTCAATGACATATTTTATCGAAGTTATGGGAAATGCACAATTGTTTAATGGTTGGCCAATATTTATAATTGAGTATATACATGTACATGCTTAATAAGTCGAGATTTCCTACTTTTCTGTAACTAAAATTACATTTGATTTATGAAAGACAAAAAGCAAGCACTTTGCACAAAGATATATACAAATGTAAAAACATCATGAATTTGACAAACACTGACATTTGGAAAGCAATATAAAGTAACCCCGAACTCAAAATTATTAATCGCTTTAAAAAATTACAAAAGAGTTTTGGTAATGTTTACAAGTTGCTTGCTTCCATTTCACCACAAACAAATACACTGTATTTGTGTTAACAGAATTTGTAATGGTTTATATAAAACTACTTTCCAAAGTATAGATACTTTGGAAAATTTGCATAACCTAAACAATTTGCATTGAACATAAATGCAAATTCATGCACTAACTCACTTGAAAATTATAAATGATCTAAATATCCACTCACTTTTACTCTTATCTCTATGCATTTAAATAAAATATATCACATGCAATGAAAACTTGGCACAAAATGTGGAATTCAGTAATAATGGAAATATTGCTGAAATAATCACAGACCGGGAACAGGAAGTGACATCACATGACTGGTACCCATTCCTCATTCTCAGGAACTGGAAGTGACATCACATGACTGGTACCCATCCTTCATTCTCCTCTGTTTGGTGCAGACCTGGAATAACGGATGCTCTAGTCAGTCCGAAGAATTTCTGGGGAGTCAGTTCTTTACGTGTTGCTGTAAATTTCCAACCAATGTGAAAAGCACACCTCCTACATTGGGCTATTGTCCAAGCATAGCTGAAAAGTAAGATTCCATTATGTCTGTATCACATTGAATGTCAAAATTTCAAAGAACACTTAAATTTATCCATCAAATTAAAAACAAAAGATATAATAGACTTTGATAAAGCTAGTATTGTTAGACTCTTTTCATGACCTTTAACTTTACAAGTCGTAAAAATAACACACTGACAGTACAGGATCCATACCCTGGAAACCAGCTATGTTCTTTAGTAGCTCGTCCAATGAGATTCAAATTCTGAGCCTTGTAGACAGTCATGGTCTCATGGACGTACCCCTGGGGGTTCACGTAAGCCCCTAAGGGCCCCTCCACAGAGAGACAGAAGACATCGTTTTTGTTGGCAATGTTTGTATTACACTCTTTACAACACAGGGTTGAACACTGAAACAACAAGATGTTCATAGGTTATGAAAGACAATACATCTCACAAGTGGTAAAAAGGACAGAGGGAGAAAGTAAAATAATTTGTTTTCAAGTTGTAGTCAGAAAATTAGAACACTGTGTTTATCATTCCTTAAGTTCACAAACATTTAAAAAATCAGAATTTCTTTCTTTATCAAGGAGGATGAAAAAACGGACACAAGATCCAGCATATGTTGATTAAAATCTTCAACAGTCTTACAGACAAGTAGTGTCTAGTCTCTACCCAAAACCTTTTGTAAAGCATCACATGTAAACATTTCACCTACACATTTCATCATGTATTTGTTATTTGTTATTTAGTATGTCTAATAAGCTGTCAATATACAAGCATCAGTAATGGTACCTGCTGAAACTTGTTTCCAAAGTGATACACCTACATTTTGTTCAGTATCAAACACCTGGCTATAGATTCTAATCAAGCACCTGTCTGTAGAGTGATTCTTATCTTTTGTAAATATCAAAAATCATCATCTGTATATTCCTATCTTTTGTACAATACGAAATTTCCTACCTTTTGTACAATATCGAGTGTCTGTTTCTACATTCTTACCTTTTGTATAATACTAAGTGAACACCTTACCTTTTGTACAATGCTAAGTGAACACCTTACCTTTTGTACAATAGTAAGTGAACACCTTACCTTTTGTACAATACTAAGTGAACACCTCAGTCTCTGTATTGCACTGTCTATCCCCAGAAGATTGAGGCGGAGATTGTCGTCTAGTGGTAAGTTCTGTATTAACCAGTACGACAACTCCACAGGGTGACTAGGCAACTTCTCAGGTGTGTAAGATGTGTTCCACTTAAACAACTCTCTCTTCACATTTCTTACCACTAATTCCTGTTTAAATAGAACAAAAACTTGAGTTGAATCAGTCTCCATCTTCTGGGAATTTAATGAATAAACATTCTAAAGGTTAAAAATTGATTTATATCCCTCTTCAACCTATTGTGTTTTGGAATTAAGAGGACAAATACAAATAATTTTTTAAATTACATACAGGATCATACATCTTGTACACCCATGGAGGCCACCACGTCAAGTATGCTGCAGAAAAGCGGTTTACCTTCAAAATACATATTTCCATGATTCTATATAAATTCTCTTGATTGAAAAACAAAAACAAACAAAAAAAACAGAAATTCAAAACTCACATCGATTAAACCTGCAATGGAAGAATATCACGTAAAATTTTGTTTTACATTTAAATTAGCTTTCTTCATAATACTATGATGATATTACCTGTGGAGTATTAAACATGGTTACACTGGACAGTATGTTTCCCTGTCTGTCTACAGCAGTCTTTGTAGATGTGCCCTGGTCTAAAGGTTCACAGCAAAATTTACAATGGGAGGTGGGCCGAGCATCACTCAAAACGTCCCCTAGAACTTTCTCCTCTAGGATCTTAACTGTGCACATCAAGATCCTATAATGGATGAAATAGAATATATGACCCTGGAATATACTCTCATCTAAGGTTGTCAGCTACTTTAAGAAACAAGCCTGCTTTTTGCATTAACTGCAAACAAAGAAGTAAAATCACATTACCTATTTCATTCCTATCTTTCAAATATCAGATGGGGGGGGGGGGGGTGTTGAAATAATGTAGCCATCACTCCAAAAATAAATTTTATATGTTGAGACAAAAGAAAGATAACTCTGCTATACCCTGTAGCTGTTCTTCTTGACTCCATGACCTTGAACCTCTGACGACCTTTGGCCTTTACTCTGATGGAAGCTAGTCCTGTTCTATCATCAGTCTCATCCTTGACAGAAAATATTTCTGCTGTTGTTCCAATGTTTGCAATAATATGACCACCATCATCTTCAGAGAATCTAAAAATTTAAAAATAAGAATGCCTTTGTCAACTTTTGTTCACCAACTGCTTAAAACAGGAAGGACTGGTTCAAATTGTGGGGATGTGCTACTTTACAATCTTACAAAGTCTTAGAAAATAATCTTAATTTTGAACAGGTTTGTAAGTTTAATATTTCAATTTTTTTTATTAAATTAATCTCTAAAAATTAAGAAAAATTCACAAATGTCAGAAAATCAACCTGCTGAAATACATTTAATCAACTGGTACAATTTAATTCATTGCTATTATTTGCCTTTAAATTAAATATAAAGTTTTGAAGCTGTAAATGACTCTTAAGTTTTGAACCTGTAAGCTACGATGCCGAATGTGTTATCCTTGTCCATCACTCCCTTCAGCATGGCGACTGTGTGCTGGTGAAATAAATGTAGAGGAATGGTTTGATCGGGGACCAGGACCATTCCTGGTAGCTGTATGACAGGGATAGAAATGGTAGAGCCCTCCTCATAATAGGTACGACCTCGGACATCCTCCAAATCATCCCCTAAATACTGTCAACATACAAGGTCAAAATAAAACGCGAGTCTAGAAAAAGATACCATTTATGATTTCTTTGAAATGATTCTTTACAGTTGAAAACTGATTAAATTTGTCCAGTGATACACTCACCGAGTGTAACAGGAGTGAATAATCAAATGGTAATAGACTAATTACTGTTATTAACTGACTTTTTGAGTGAGAAAACGTAATGGATTCCCGTCTTAATTATCAACCGAGTGCAAAATGCGGAGTAATTAGTTATATGCAATAGAAATGACTTACCGAGTGTGAGACGGGTAGAGATTGATCAAATGTAATAGATTCCTGTCTTATCAACTGACTGCTATCGTCTTCCCCTTCAGAAGTTTCGCTTTCCTCGCTACCACTTGAAGAATCTGTTTAAATAGGAGCACAGAATACAGAGTAAATTATCAGGTTTTCTATACATCTAGCATCAGCCTATACAGAAGTGTCACTAATTTCCAAATAAAACTTTTTTGGACTCTTCAATTTGGAGAGTGTGGGTGGGGGGAATCTTCATATTAGCTATTCAGGGAAAATCTTCAAATTAATGGGAAAATTTATGTGAATTTACTAAAAGAAACTGGCTATATTTCAACGGTAATGGGTGGGTTTGCCCCGATTACGTTTGCAATGACTGGTTTTGCCTCGAGTGATCTCGCCCCGATTATACCCATTACTGTAATAAGTAATTAAGGGTGTCCTATTTTTGCATGTGTGGATTTTGGTAGTTTGTTAGGACAAATGGCTAGTGTCCTATACTTGGTTTTTGCATGTGTGTTAAGGGAAAGGTTTTTGATGTACCCAAAGCAATCTACACAGTGACTACACCTTATTTGACTGATATTACATTTGTAATAGAGCAAGTCTTTGTTCAAAAATTGAGAAAAAGATCGAGATTGTTGAATTAAATTTGGGCAAGTCTAATCTGTTAAAATTAAGGTTTTAAAATTTCATTTCATGAACAAGGCATAACTAAATCTAAGGGTGTGGGTTAAGGAATTTTTGTTGTTTGTTTTTGAGATTTTAGCCTGACGCCACATGCGTCAGGCAGTATAAGGATTAATTTTTCCAAGATCCGAAACTAAGCAATCAGTCTTAATGAACTAGATTTTCTGGAAGCTGATTTACACTGGAATTTGTTACCTGCATTTAAACAAATACAGTTTGCAGAAGAAAGAATCATATTACTGATGCAAAATAATGATGTGTTTAATTCCTTCGGTTTTTTGCATGCACGTTTATTCTTTGCGATTCTTTGTACGGGCATGTCCGTGTAACATTTTTTCTGCATTTCTAAACTACTGGATCAGTCCATTTGCCTTCTACGAAAGGGGTGACACAATCATTTCGCGCCAAATGTCACATGTAAATTATCTTCGCACCTTTTTCTTGGATTGTTCTATTGAATGGATGTGATTGATTGATTGATTGACTATTGTTGTTTTACGCCGAGCCAGCAATATTTCAGCCATATTTCGGCGGTATGAATTTAAATACTGTATAAACGGTTTTGAAAGTTTTTGGGTTTCTCTGGCGGCCCACAATGAGCCTACTCTTTTTCGAAAACCAGAGAAATGATGAATGGATGTGATAATTTCTATGGACATAAATAAAGTTTATTCTTTTAACCTGATTCTTAAGCTTCAGATTTTTTATTAAATTTTTAAAGTAAATTTTACCTCATTTTTAAAAGAACACATTGTATATGGACAGGCAACACTAAAGCAATGGATTTGCTGATTATTCTTGCTATTTATCCAACATGTCCAATAAGTGAACTAGTCCAATCATAAAAAAACTCCCTCGACCTAGTAAATGGGACATCCCTTCTTGATTCAGTCTGTTTTCCACCTTTTCTTTCAATATCACATTTATTAATAATGTACGTTACAAGGTTAGGTTTTTAAAAAAAGCTTTGAAAGTCAGCCAGTAGCATATTATTTCATGCTTTGTGATGAACAAGGATAGTGACAAGAGTGTAGGTCAGTACCCATAGAGGAATGGGCTTTACTCCCGTAAGGTTCTAAGCAAAGAATCGCCAAATGAAGAAGACATCATAATCTGTACTAGCTTTCATTTCATATAAAAGCACGCTATTATAATTATGAGAAAGATCCTGAAATCGATTGAAAAGAAAAACTTAACAAAAAACTGAACATAAAGATGCATTTTAATCTCATTTATAATACATGTGGTAGGACCATAACTTTCGTCCGGGGGGGGGGGGGGGGGGGGGGGGGGGGGGGGGGGGGTTATTAGTACATGTATCTTGTTTTGCTCTAGATATAAAGTGTACAGTCCATTTACTCTGAGTTCTAGTGCAGCATTGAAGCATTTTTGTCTCAAACACTTCAAGACAAGGCAGTTAAAACTGTTCATAATTTACTTCGTCGTCGAGAATGACGGAACGGAAAACAGACCAGTCTATAAAAAGAGGCGTCTCATCAATCTATTGCTGATTAGAGAGTGTGCATGAAGAAGCACGTCCTCTAGTAAGAGAGTATATGAAATATGAATTTCTTTAAAACGAATCATCTATTTTTATCAAAATTATAATCTACGCTAGCGCACTTAGAGTTTCATCTCAACGTAACTTGTCAGCCCGTGGGCTAACTAATAAATGATTAAATAGTGGCATGTCTTAGATATTCGTTAATCTGTAGTATTTGGTTATGAGATTTGAGAAAGTCAATTGTACATCTTGTGTAATGAAGTATCGCAACTATGTCGCTCCTTGATGACGGAAACGTTTAGCACCTCTCTTGCTTATACATTCCATAGATATTGATTGATTAGTCAGGCAAGCTTTTTGAAAAGCTATTACTTGTCAGTTTTACCTTTGCATACTTGTAAGCCAGAGATGTATATGTCATGAGGCCACACCAATTTGTAAAATAGTTCTTCGGATTTTCAAAAATAGAAAGTGAGGCAAGAGGGCGAAATATTTTTACAAATATTATTTTTCATTTTGGGGTTAAAAATTCTGAGGCGAGCGAATACAACAAATATATTTTTTTTTAATGAACAAAGCATGATTTCAAAGAGCGAGGGCTTAAAAAATAAAGACTTAAAATCATTTGTATACCACATGAACTTAAGATTTTTAACTTTTTTTGATATTGTTTCAATAAATAAAAATTTCAGGTTTCAAAGACTTCATTTTCATAACAAGTAATGTTTTGCTACAATAAATAAGGTCTTTTTAAAGAATTTCCTCTCCAATTTGATGCTCATTCTAACAAATCATTAAATAAATTCTGTGGTCTTGTTTGCCTGTAATTTTTCCAGAGAGAGAATAATTTTTGGAAGCATTCATAAAATGTGAAAACGCGTCTACTTTCTGTTTGTTATGTTTTGAATGAGGTATGTGTTACATTGCAATTTAATAGTTTCATTTCTGCAAACGTTCTGTTCATGCAGTTCTGTGCAAATTTCTAGGGACATGTCCAGTCTTGAAATCTCAATTACATCTATCTTAGGGGGGTTTTTTTTATTTTGAGAGAGCAAACATCATCAATATTCACCAAACCTTTGTGGACTTTTCGATGTTCTCTTTATCTGTTTATAGAAACATCGAACAGCGCTTCAAAAGTTTCCTTGGCTTCTAGTTCGATTGCAGTATAAGGAAAAAATTTACATCCACTGTTTGTAACTATTGATGTAAGAAGACAGGCATTGTGAAAAACTTCATACATTGTTACAAAGTATGAGTTATGAAGTACAAACTTTCTCAATCCAGCGCTTTTGGTGTAAAAAGTTGAAAATCAAAAGCCTGAAAGGCTTCAATGACGTCGAACAAGAAAAATAATTTCAAAAGAATCTGAAGATAGCAATAGGTCGAGTGAGTGACTCAGGTGACATAATAATAATAATAAAAAAATAGTTTTAAACAAAATGTCACAATTACAGTCTGGGGTCTTATGTCATGATCCGAATGGAGCAGGGTTCGAATTGACCAGACACCGTCGAACATGTTCATGCAATATCAAACTAATATCTTTTCAGTCAATTGAAGAACTATGAAGGACTTCATGAATTTATATATTATTCTTTCTAATTGCCAATGTCAAAGCGTTGTTTTAGTGATTGCATCTAAACTACAACCATGACTCTGCTCTGTTACAAGTACGATCGAGTTACGATAGGGCGTGGTATATTGGAGGAAATGGAGAAATACAGTAATACTGGTCAACATCATCGGTTTTTAGGATAAAGTTGGTCAGAAGATTGTAAAAGTAAAGCTAAGATTCAATCTTTACAGTCTTACAGTATTCGTGTTTATGTAATTTTGTAATTATTTTACCGCCTGTTGGGTTGTTTGTGTTCCACGGTTATCGTTCCAAAATGTTATTCATGTCATTCGACGCACCTTTCTGTAGAAATTCATCCGCAACAACCATCATGTTTTTATTGTGTGAAAATAAAACATAATATCATTGTTTTGTAAAAAGAATTAATTGTAGATACAAATGATGCAATTTTATTTTCAAGCTATAATTATTCATTGTGAGCTTTTAAAAGAAATTGGTTTATAGCTATTGCTATTTTCTATTGCGGATGCATCCACTGACACATTCGGTCGCGTACATCCTTGGCGGTTTCACTTGGCCGATCGCTAGATGACGTTCGAGCTCCAGGAGCTCGACGTCATAAAAATGTACTCAGATATTTTTTGATGTGCAGGTGGACATATTTTTTTGATAATATTATAATCTGGATTTGATACAAATAGAAGCAGTGAATTCAACGAACTACATTGCAAATTGATGTGGCCTAAATGGCACTTGAATATTTAATTGTCAAGATGTATGCACATCTTTCTCATGTTTCTGTTAAACATCAATCCAATGAAAGGTGTTTATTTGAGTCAGGGACATATGTATATCCATTCAAAGTACAGGGCCATCAATCTCTTTGGATTGGGTCCGATAAATGGACCCTTCCCAATTATGACCCCCCCCCCCAAAAAAAATTCCCAATTTACTTATCTAGAAAATTCCTGATATGACAAACTGTTAAATTATCGTGCCCTCAAGTCTCTTTGTATGTTAGCAGCCAGGTGATCAATTGAAAAATTAAACCTAATTGAACTTACTCTGTTGATTATGTTTTGATAGATTTTAAAACCATTGCATAAAAGTAAAATTTCCCAGTCTGACCCAAAACGTCGAAAATTTTCCCAATTTAATAGGACCCGGACCCTGTACCAAAAAGGACAGTGATAGCCCTGCAGGTTTTCTGAGAAAAAGTAACTTGAATCTGGGACATATTGAAATGTAGAATACACACCCCTGCTTGAGTTGCTGAGTTTTATTTAAACTTTATCTCTCTGAAAGAAATAGAACTGGAATACAAATCAACAAATTACTTACTTTAAAGGGACATAACTCATAAAACACTGAAACTGAACCCTCAATCTGGAAATAACATTTGATTCATAGTTGCAATGTTCTCTGAAATATTATGAATCAATCCTTTCTTAATGTCGAAAGTCAATTGTATACCCTCTTTAAATGGTTACAAGTATTGGAACCATTTTCCTGAGAATGCCCAACCTCCCGTGGAGTAATGGCGATGAGCGCCAAAAACTTCAATGCGCTCTGCAGTCTGATGCTGAGCCTCTTTCAAGTCGAGAAAATTCAGATTACAAACTGTCATGCATTTTATACTCAGTCAACTTGCGTCAAATGCAATATTGCATTTGATCATTTCCAAACTATACACACCATCATCTTCTCCATCTGGCTCAACCACACCAATGCCTAAAAGAGGCAGCAAGTCATCATCCATTTCGCGGTTCTTCGCATCTGAAATATTTTCGGAGTCAAAATTCTCCAGAAGAATCTAGAGGGATTACGAAAACCAAAATAAGTTCCATGTGACACGAATTAACCAATCAAAAACCATGTCGTGTCTTTCGCTGGAATTTGTACTTCCGGTTCACAAAATACGAGTCATCTGTCATAATTCTGCAACAGTTGCACGACATTAGAGCGAAAACGAGAACAGAACTGTAAGTAAATGAAAGAAATGATCTCTATATTTCCTTAGGCAAATCAACTGAATATAATGAAAAGGTGTCCATGGAAGGGTGCTGTTAAGGTAAAATATTTAGGGTATGTGTAATCGTGTGCCTGAACATGGTCCAATATTCATGGTCATCTTAAGATACTAGGATTGCCAACTACATACAGTACAGTATTTTTCTTTTATTGTAATGCATATTGTTGAGGATATGCTACCCCGATTTAAAATGTTGATTTGACTTTTATTTTACAAGATTTTCACAGAATTAAGATGTTATATGATGCAATATGGGGTATTTCAACAGCTGTTCTCCTTAGCTCTTGATTTTAAAAAAATCTGAACTGTCGGTATAAGTAAGAATCAAAGATAAGCCAGCTGTATTCAACTTTCCTGCTCGTAAACATATTGTGCTTATGGACAGTGAATCATGCATTGTATTTATAATGTGGCGCTGTCAGGCAGGTTCAATCACCAAAGGCCAGATAGATCGACTAGTGATTCAGGGGGCTCGAACTTGAATCCTAGTCTGGTCTGTCACATTTTTCTCCCTTGTAGGTAATATTGCATATTCTACCCCCTTCCCCATCCTCAAATATAGATGTTATTTCAAAGGGATTCCTGAGGCAAAACTTCTCCAGCCTTTATGTATTTTCATCCAGAAAGACGTATTTAATTTATACGGTATCTTGTACATTATAAAATAAATGTAAAACTTGTAACGTAACTTTCTGTTACACATCCTATTGCCACTATTACTAGTAGATCTAGAGTTGAATTCCATTGGAGGTAATAATTCGAAAATTAGAAGGCTGTGCATGTGGTACAAGTATGAAATACTACTATTATATCATGTGTTGAGGAGGTCAGATCATAGAAACAAGAAGACAGACAGTGAAATCTTTCAATTTAAAGTTAAAGGCCAGAAAAAAATAATAGTCTTGTTTCCTGCTACCAGCCTGAAAAAAAATAGGGTAGGTAGGTAGGAAAATTATTTTATTTTATATTTTTATTTTATTTTTTTTTTCGACAGCATGTTTTGGATATGAACTAATACAAGATCAAATAAAACATGTCACAGGTCAATATTGTCTTTTAAAATTAAATTTCATATCTTTTTATGCACAACTCAAGTGGTATTTTATGAAAGTCCATATTTTAAACAAGAATTTCATGAAATGCTTGTTTTGTGTTAACAGGGAAACCGATCACGGTGACAGAACGATGAAATTCCGGAAATTCCCAATTTTTTTCCTTCCAAACTTAAAAAAAAAAAACTTTATGGTCGGGTGGAAAAAAAAAGGGTATGTCGGGTAGCAGGAAACAAGACTATTATTTTTTTTGGCCAAATCTCAATACAAGTCACACACAAGTCACGGGGGGAGGGGATAGGAAGTGTATCCAAAATGAGCTAAACAAGTTTATAAATATAGAATGATGTTATTTTGGAGGTTAGTCAGTATTTTCAATCATTCAACATTGCTAACAAAAAGAATATATTATTTTCAGAGTAGTAATTACTACTGTGTTGCTATGAACTGTGAAAACCTTATTTTATTGACCGCCCTGTGTGGCATTTGGACAGTGAGCATCTCATTGGCAAAGAAGGACTATTATGAAATCTTGGGGGTGAAGAAGAATGCCACAGACAAGCAGATCAAGAGGGCCTTCCGAAAACTGGCCGTTAAATATCACCCGGATAAAAATAAAGACAAAGATGCCCAGGAAAAATTTGTAGAAATAGCCAAAGGTCAGTCTCAAATAGTGCCTGGATAATTTGTATATTAACTGCACTAAGATAAGGATTTTCTTTTTCATTATCAGTAAAAAAAATGTTTAAAATGATCTCTTTATTTCATCATTAAAGGAAGTGTTTTGTTCATTAGAAATATTAATTGATGTTAGTTTCCTTGATTGTGCTTTGTTTACAAAATAAAACAGAGAGGAGAGTCACATTAAATTTTTCTATTTAATGACCAAAAAAAAAATCCTTCATTGAGGAAGTAAAGAAATCATTTTAATTAACACTTAAAATTACATGAATTTCTTGCAACATTCAACTGTAAGGTACTTCCTGTAAGAGTCCACGGTTTCAAGACTGCTGATTTCCAATAATGAGATATGTATTGATATCGATATTAACAACATTACAATGGTTTTACAGCCTATGAAACCTTGAGTGATCCCGACAAGAGGAAGAAATATGATCAGTTTGGCGATGAAGCCGAGAACCTTCATGGAGGAGGAGGTGGTGGTCAACCGTTCACGTTCAACATGAATGACTTTTTCCGTGGGTTCGATGAAGCGTTCAATGCTCACCAGGAAGGGCACCATCGGCACCAGGAGGGATTCAAATTTCACTTTGGTGGAAATGGTGGACAGCAAAATACCAGATTTTTTAATTTTGACGATTTATTTGAGGACGATGATGATGATGATGGTGATTTCTTTTCCTTTGGCGGGAGTCCATTTGGTCATCACGATATGAGATTTGCCTTTGATGACGAGGAGGACATATTTGGACATCAAGGTCACAATCATTATTCCCGCTCCCACAACCACAATCACCACGCCCACCACACACACCACAGAAACCTACATCATAACTTACACCACATGCACAACAATATGCATGGTAACTTTGGTAACATGAGAATGCATTCTTCTGGTTTTCATAGTTCAGGTAACTGTCTCTGCTTGCTTCTCTAATCTTTCTCTAGGAAAACACTTTTTATTGTAAATCTGTAAAGTTTAGAGGTATATTGGATTTTTTATGCTAGTTTTCAATTTTTTTTAAATGCTTCTCTTGTTTATTAGACATCTTGAAGGTACTTTTTTTTTATTTTCTTCCGTTTTAAATAACAGAAGGATATCTGCAATTATCTACTCTATTATTTTTCTTTTGCTTTAAAACTGCAACTTATGCTTAAAGCACAGTCAACTATTTTCTTTTGACCCAAAACACTTTATGCACAACTTTAAGCTACCTGACACCCTAAATTCCCATAGAAGTATCTAGGGTTTTTTAGTGGAAGTTGTTATTATGACTCATTAAGATTAATTTTATTTTTCAGGAGGTCGGACATGTCGCACGGTGACTCAAAGAGTAGGAAACATGGTAACAACCCACACTGAGTGTTCATAATGTGTACGTAAACTGTTAACCTTTACTGTGATATTATTTGCGACCTCGTGGTGCTTGGATCATCCATTTTTAGCTCACCTTGACAAAGTCAAGAGGAGCCTATTTCAGCTGGTGATTGTAATTCATAATTTTCCATAATTATAAACAGACCTCACACAGTTTCACATAGGCGGATCCTGTGTGGTGGCTGTTTTTTGATCCTCAGACACAAGGAATGATGATGTATATATAAGATTGCATGTCAGCAATATCAAGAAGTGCTGTTTGAGAGGTGATCGTTGATGACAGAATTTTGATGTTGAAATTTAGCACACAAATGACAAGTTTTGTTTGTAAGTTTTTTCTTTCTTTTTTTTTCTTTTGTTTGTTTTGTTTTGTTTTTATTTATTTTCTTCATTTAGTTTCTTTGTACTGTAAAGTCATAGATATGATAAGAGATTTGCATCTGCATTGTAATTTTTTTTGTTTAAATTTGCTAGAGAATTTGAGTCTGTCTCTTAGTATTTAGACAATCTGATTAAAATCATATCCTTTGATCCGCTCACATAGATTGCTACAAAAGGATCTGAAGAAACACCATTCAGGGTCATCTCCTGGTGACCTTTCAATTATCCAATCAAACATTTGCTTAGAAGTGTCTCAGAATTCAGTTACAGAAGTGAAAGACCCGATGATACACGAACGGAAAATCATGACCTGGTTTCCATAGCCTGTCAAAAGAATGACCACAGTCTTTTCTGTACAGAAATATATTAAGTATTTGCTTTTGCCTTGTTTTTTACCTCTTTGTTTTGTACAAAACGATAAGATCTTCTCCACAGCTACTTTCACTTCTACATTCATTTTCCCGCATGTCGCTTAAATACGATCTCTCTGATTGGTCAAAACTTTAATGAATATTTTTATTAGAAAGGTCACCTGGAGATGACTCTAAATGGGGTTTCTTCAGATCCTTGTATAGAGATCTATGTGAGCGGATCAAAGGATCTGATTTTAATCAGATTGAGTATTTAGAGTACCATGGATAGCATTAGCAATATTTAATTTTTCATGGATAAATATTCCTTGATTAAATATGAACGTTCTGTCTTACTGAAATCAGAATGTGATTGGAGACTGTGTTCATTGTAATGTTATTTAGATATGATAGCTAGCATGTGAAATCACTAGACTTGACGTTTATGTTTTGTATGCAAGACTTACTGTATTTTTGTTTTTGAATGAATCGCACAGTTTTCCATTGCCTACAGCAATTTTACTCAAATGCAAATACATGTATTATCCATTTAATTCTTCACAGCATAAATTAAAAGCTTCTTCAACCTAGGTACTTAGTGTACCTGTATAAGATTTTATGTAAAATGCTCCATTACTGACGCTGTCCAAAAAGGTAGCTTAGCCGACTGTAGAAAACTGTAGAAAGATTTCTTAGACATGGCAAGTATTTTAATGCCAGAATGTTTTCTTCATTCATATTTTTGTATTTGAAGATTTGCTTTAATTCTAAGCCAAACAATAGGGGTTTACAAAATGATGATGCTATGGAAAATGCTCACCTGTTTCTTTTTTTTCCTCCATCAACCTTATGTTGACCTGTACAAAGTATCTCTGTCTTCATAAATATGAAGTATGCCTTTTCTTTTGGACTGATAAACTTTATTCATAACATTTATACTAGTCATATCACTCATATATCTTTCATACCAGCAAACAATTAATATTTAGTTTTTATTTTTCTGGTTCCTTATTTCTGTGGTAAAAAAAGTCAGTTAGAGGAGCTATTGTAAGTGTTAAGCCTTGATATGATAAATCAACAAGATTTAAAAACAGAAATTACAAATGCGTGACTTTTTTTTTCTTTCCTTTTTTTTTTTTGGTCAGATGTTTCATTTAAATTTTAATTGGTAATTTTCAATTATAACTTGTCACTCAGTTAAACAGTATCATATGTTATATTTACCAGTAAAACTTAAAACCTCTTTCTTAATTATGTTGGAAATAAAAATCCACTGTGGCTTCAAAACAGAGGTGAAATTATGTATTATTAAGTACAGGTTTAAGTAAGTTGTTATTGAATATTGTTATCATTTATATTTTGTTAACTGAATTACCCATTGTCTTTCAATTATGGGAAATAAACTTTGTGCTCATTAAGATTGTCTTGTTACTTTAATGTTTGAGTTGAATGTAATTACAAGATTTATTGTCAGGATTGATGAAATGTTCATGTGTGTGTGTGTGATACACTATAATTAGCCCATTAGTTTTTTAAAAATGTTTTTTTTTTTTTTAATCGGAATTTGGGAGTTGATTTAGTTAAAGAAATCTAAATGTTTAGCTCACCTGAGCCAAATGTTTGTGTGAGCTTTCATATCAAAATCTGGCATCTGTATGTTAACTTTTCAGATGGTAAGACTCTCTCTCTCTCTCTCTCTCTCTCTCTCTCTCTCTCTCTCTCTCCAAAACTAGTTGGCCGAATTAAACAAATCTTGACAGTTATTAGTAAATTAACACTGACTGAAGGAGATTTTGAAGTTTTTGAACATTAAAAAAAAAAAGTGAAGGGGACTCAAGTTTGTTCAAACGAAGAGCCAACATCCAGCTTGAGGGGAGAAAATTTGTGTTGTGATATTAAAGTCTTGAAGAACCAAATTAAATATCCTGTGAAAGCTTCCTGACATAACCAAGATTCAAGTTCGTTCAAATCAGAACTATAGTCGCAAAAGGTGATAAATTATACCTTGGAAGATGTAGGGGGCAAGCATGACGATAATTAGTCATTCTTTAAGCAAACAAGCATGCACAGGTAGTCCAGATTCAAGTTTAATTGTATAGAAAACTTAAAAAAAAAATATTTTCCAAGAATTAGATCTTCAGGTTCATGTTTAATTGATGAAAGGTTTACCTAGGAATATATAGGAAAAAATCTCATACCTTCTCAAAAACAACAGTACCATGGTTAGTCATATTATAATCAAGCATCCTCAGGTGTGCAGATTCCAATTCAAATCATGGCTTCCAGGAGTAAGATGTGACACAATGCAAAATCAGTATTTTACATGGGAATATTCAGGAAAGTATGAAATTTCTCAAAAATGGAAGGGGTTCACTGAATTTATATTCATATGCAAACACTCTCAAGTAGGAATTTTTTTTTCCCAAAAAAAATGGTCTTGGGGTAGGGTTAAATTTTTCTAATGCAAGTTAAAAAGAATAAATTTAAAGAGTCAACATTATCTTCTCCAGAATAGCAAGGTAATATTAGACATATTATTTTTCAAGCCAATTATGTGTGGATTCAAGCTCGTTTAAGTCATGCATGATCCCTGCTAGTGTACATGGGGCCATAATATATATAGGATCAAAATGTTTCATGTAGATAAGTGGGGGAGGGATCTTCTGATAAAGAACATCATGGCCAAGGTGAGCCTTGGCCTTGTCTCACCTTGGCCTTGTGGCCCATGAACCTTTTTGTACGTTTTGCTTAGCATTTAATGACTTTAAAATAAATTTACCGACAGAGAGTTTATGAAAGACATATAAATTGAAAATAAAACGCTTTTTAAAAACTATATTTGTTGATTTTAATCAGTCATTCGCATTTAGGCAAAACTTTTCTTGGTCCAACCGCAAACCCTTCACCACTTTTCTCAGAGCTTCTGGTTTAGCTTAATTTAATTTTTTTTTTCTTTGCATTTCTTTAATATAATTGTTATTTACAAGTTATCGATGTTTTTCCCTAAAATAATTCCAGAAACAGTTTAAGGCCGATAAATTTACATCTTCATGCATGATAAAGCAAAACTGATTTTTCCAGTACAAATGAATGGTATAGTTCATGATCATGCACTTAATGTCCCGTTTTCTGAAAAGTCTAGCTCTCATAAAAGCTTACTATTTTAAAATAGATATAGAAAATGATAATGTGTTTTATGTCACCAACTTTGGCTTTTTTTCCCAAAGAATTAATTGATATTGCAGTAATATCCAGAAAAGAGACACGTTGACATCCATTTTTTTTTCTCGCGTAATTTATGCATTTGTTTAATTCTATATTCTTTATACTATATATATGTACGTATTTATATATAGTAGTTTGGCTAATTTCCAAAACAAAAATTCTGTATATATGCTCGAACTGGGTAAATGAATGTTTACTACAAAACAGTGTCTGAATTCATTCTCACATAGTATGGGGACGACTTTTTTTTTTGGAGGGGGGTGGGGTAGATTTTGGAAATAAATAACCTTTTCTCAAAATGTTTAAAGAAATAATCTGTCCTTTGCTGGTAGAAGATAAATAATCTGACCTTAACAGGGTTCGAACAGACCATGAAAAGTGCTCGAATTTTATTAATTTGCATGTTTAGTTGTTGAATTTTGAATTTTATATATTGTGCTAGAATTCTGATCGTGCTGCTAATAAGCAAAAAGAAAAAAAGGGGGGGATAATAAAAAACTTGTGTTGGTTTTATACCTGTCTATGCATTACCAGTTTGAAAATGCTGTAAAAAGACATGGGTGAGAGGTTTAATTTTTTCTAAAAGTGCTTAAAATTGCTTGATTAAAACGCTGAAAAAGTACATGAAAATATTGATACTAAACCTTGTAGAAACTTTAAAATACATGACAAAATTTTCAGAAAGCACAATCCTATCATATAAATATTTAATGGCTTATCATTTTATACATTTTATGGATTTTATTCAGTATTTACAATAAACACGTTCTGTTCTATATGTACAAAGCATCGCTATTATATAACTTGATTATGCATTATGCTACAAGTGTCTAGATACAAGTCATAGCTTGATTATGCTAAATATATAATAAAGGAATATGGGTCGACTTAAGATGGTCAATACACATGAATACAGGTACCAACAGGAGAAAACTTTGTCACCATCGTTAACGTTGTGAAATACGACTCAGATTGTCCCTGTTCATTATTTTCTGTATTAAAAAATAATAGTTATTCATGTTATAAATATTCCTTAATGAAATAGAAGAAGATACTAATACAGAGAAATGCAATCATTCTCATGTTTTTGGAAAGCACTGGTATTTATAAAAAATCGTCCCCTTTTAAGAATAAATAGTACATGCATAAGTGACAATATACATGTACATGTATACTAATAAGAAATATTGAAATTTAGCAGTCAAGAGATCGCGGAAGTATAATGATTGTCAACATATATGCCATCTTAAAGACATAACTTCCGGTCTATAGTATTTCCGATTCCGCTACATTTTGGAGTTCTCCGCTGTGTAGCCGTTGTTGTCCACGGCGTATTTCTCCTTGTGTTCCCGATCCCGTTTCTCTTTGTATTCCTTGGACATGAACAATTCTTCTACTTCTTCAAGTGTCTTGTTTTTTGTTTCCGGTAATATGAAGAACAGGATGACCATACCCAGGAACGAGATTCCACAGAAAAGATAAAATGTACCTGAAATAGATGTCAATGACGTAAAAACTTACAATCAACTTTTGTACATGTTTGTTGATTGGTTGTTTAACGTCCCTCTCGAGAATTTTTTACTCATATGGAGACGCCACCTCTTTCCGGCGGAAGTGTTGGCGTCTCTTACTCGGCACTCATGGCCATAATGGCATTGAGCAGTGAGGAATCTTTTTCGTGCCAAAACTTACTGCGACATGGGACCTCGGTTTTATACGGTCTCATCCGAAGGACCGGTCTTCACGTCCCGCAGTGGATTCGAACCCACGACGTAAGGATCATCTCCCTACTCCGCGACTCTAGAGCAGTTGCTCTTACCACTGCGCCACGAGGGCGACAACTTTTGTATATTAAATAAAATGTATTCTTGATTAAAACTTAAATAAGTTTAATTTGTTTTTCAACTATTTAGTGAGCATTTATCCTGCCTGGAATTTTACGGTACAATACTGTAGACCTATAAATGACCTTCTGGTTTGGGTATTCCAGTAACTGAACTTGAGAAAAACAAAATAGACAGCACGCGGGTAAATAAGTTATAACTGTAAAGAAGAGTCTATGTGGGAGAAAAAAATGTTCAAAGTGAGCGTTGCACATTATCTCAAAGGTAAATGCGAAATAAAATAAAATAGATTAGATATACAGTATAAAACATTATTAAGGCGATAATGTATAATAACGGTACGTTCCCCATCTGCTTTTAGTTATATTCTAAATTCTAGATTCAAGTGCTCGTGAAGGACACGTGATATAGTCTACCTGCGTCACAGGCAGACGGCATGGTGTTCACGTTTCTTTCACGACCACCTGATTCAGGAATTGTAAGTGTTTGTGACCGATCAAAAGGCACTCAAAGGTTACATTTCCTGGTCATCTTACATTAACCAAACCATCTTCAATTTTGCTGGAATCTTAAAACAGAGTAAACCACAAATCTAATGAGTGCATCCTTGGAATATGTGCAATGAATTGGTAAAAACACTTCACAGACCCAGGTAATTTAGTCGTCAGATATGTTCAGAATCTCTTGAAACAAAAGCAACAACAGTTTTGTTCATAAGTGGCAATCATCAAGTCATCAAAAATGGAGAAGGTAAATTCAGGATTTGGCCTTGGAACAGCACTATATTCGTATTTCCAGCAACAAACTGGAATGTGACAATTTTATCTGTTTACAGATTCATGTGGATACAGGAGTTCTTATTTGTCCCGCTGATAATAATTTCACATTTAAGGATTGTTCTTTTGTCTTGCAATAATTATTGACAAAATCCATTAAATCTCTTGAGATTTTTCATTCGAGTCTGTTACACACTATGGACACTAACAGCAAAGTTGTCCAAATCATTTGACCAACACTGAGGACATGCCTAATTTAGCTTTATGTAAAAGAATCATTACGAGTTTGTCATATTAATAAAACGAAAATTAGTTCTCAGTAATAATATATATTTTATTGTTATTGATTCACATACTGTACTCCAAAGACCGTTTCATTATAATATGTAAATTTTCTATGAATTCCACAAATAAGAGGTAAATTTGTTGCTTTTGCGTTCTTGTTTGTAACTTTTCAGGCATTTTTAGCCACGCGGTTCTATCTAGTCTTTATCATCTTCATCGGAAATGGTCATTTGCAGAGAACTGTTATATGCACTTGTTGAAATGCATTACTAAGAAAATGCTAATGTGATGTATAGAAAGGAATCCCCGTTGAGTGAGGTGGATGTACCTACCAATGTACAAAGACGTCTACCCAATCAACTACCATCCCATTGAGGGGAAGAGGAATAAGTTAATATCTGACCAATGTAAAAGAATAATAGAAATCATTGAAATTTGCAGAAACTGATAGAGCATTTATTAGTACAACGAAAAGTTGAAGTTCGAACGCAAAAAAAAAATCGTACATTTTCGCGGAAAATTCATATACATTGCTGAAAAGAAATGTACAGTGGAGCTTCGTTTATCCAGATGCTAATAAACCGGACGCTTCACCTCCGGACGAAAGTGGGGAACAATTTATATAATTATACAAAATATGTTTCATAAATCCTGTTTCATTAATCCAGAAAATTTGCTCGAGAACAAGTTTTCGTTTAAAGAGCTAGGCTCAACTTTACTGCAAAAGTGAATCTTGTCAAACTGTTATTTTAAAAAATGCAATCAAGTATACGCTTACCGTATGTTGTTATATTTTTCAACAGTATAAGGAAGGTGAATGACACTATGAGGTTCCCGATCCAGTTAACACAGGTTGCTAGTGATGTGCCTGTCCCCCGGGCCCAGAGAGGGTAAATCTCCGAATTAATGGTCCATGGATTGGGTCCAAGACCTGGAATATATTGTATTATGTCATTTTAGAACAAGAATACAATTATAGTACATGTACATGTGAATATATGATCTTGATAATTATATATATTCGTGTAATTTCAAGAAGCATATTTTTCTGAGACAATTACTGAATTAGGAAGATTCTGTTACTGAAAGAGTATAATCTGTAATCATTGAACCCTGAACACATCTGCAATTAAATGACAATTATATCTAAACAGAAAGGGGCAATGACGTCAGTACAAACCTGGTGCGAAAGCAATGACAAACAACGCTAGTCCGAGGACGGCCATCCAGGAGTAATCCGTGGGACAGAAGTCATTAGCCCAGTCATACCTCTCAGTGTCGTAGTTCGTCTTGTTACACAGGGTCTCGTTATAGTGCGTGGTATTTACCTCGGGCACGGCATACCGTTCCGGGTGGTCCTTGTACACGTGGAGGCACCAGCCAGTGCTATCCTCCTTACCATCTTCCCAACAAAACCCACAATTTTCATCCTTAATGCATCCATTACAAGAGCTGGAATCAGAAGACAGACAACACGTTTCGCAGAAGTGAAATTTTTCAAGGAGCCAGCTGGTTTACTTTATTTGAATGTAGGAGGAAGTAAAAAGGAGAAAAGTAATCACATTTTGCGAATAAAAATAATCAAATATGTTTGTGTTTCATTTTCTAAAGTTTTGATACATGAATAGTTACCGGTAATATGCTTCCCTACCTAAACAACTGTCTTATTCCTCAATAGAATTAAAAACTCTCTTACTCGTATTTATAGTGGCAGGAGGAGGAATTGTCAAGATATAGAGAAACGGGTGGTGAGTTTTTCTCTGACAACTGGAATCCAGCACCAAGTACAATCAACGCAATGATAATGCCTGCAATGGAGAAGAAATATACAGGAAGATACATATGTACATGTGAAGAATTTTCATAGATAATCAAGAGGAGCAGTAAAACATACGTAATCAGAGATTACATTTTTTGTTTCTTTGTTGTTTAACGTCCCTCTCGAGAATTTTTCACTCATATGGAGACGCAACCACTTGCAGTTGGAGAGCTGCAAATTTTGACCTATACTCGGCAATTAGGGTCATTGAGCAGTGAGTGATCTTTTCGTGCCAGCACCTACATGTACAGCGACACGGGACCTCGGTTTATATGGTCTCATCCGAAGGACCGGTCTCCACGTCCCACAGTGGAATCAGAGATTACAGAGCTTACCTCAACGAATGTTGTCTTTAAGTAAGGCAAAGTTTCACACTAAACTAATAATCTAGTAGTGTACATCCTTAGATGCAACATTTATGCAATTTTGGTCTGATAGGGCTTACAGTTACTTGGGAATGGACTTATCTAAAAACTTCAAATTAGCCACTCATCCAGAAAATGTAAGTCAAATCCAGCATCTGAAGCAAGTTTGAGAATGTTCGTCCCTTGATGCATCATCCATGCAAGTTTGGTCAACATAGGGCTTGAAGTTACTTGAAAATGGGATCTGCTCCAAAAACTTTAACCTGGCCACTCATCCGGAAAATGTAGGTCAGATCCAGCATCCGAACCAAGGTAAGTAGTGTGCATCCTTAGATGTATCATCCATGCAAGTTTGGTCAATTTAGGGCCTATAGTTACATGGAAATGAGACCTGATCCAAAAACTTTAACCTGCTCAAAAAACTTTAACCTGCTCCAAAAACATTAACCTGGTCATTACTTAGCTGAAATTGCAGCATCTGAAACCTTGACACTAGAAGCTTCCTCCATGCATCTCTGATTAATGTAAGGCATAGAAGTACTTGAAAAGAAAACTGCTCCAAAAACTTTAACCTGGGATGCCGATACCGACGTCGAGGGTATTACATAAGCTCCCCCAACTTCGTTGAGGTAAGCTAAAAAATCGTGTTTCGGTATATAATGATTATAGTTTCATAAACAACTTTGCAATAATGTGTGTGTGTGAGTGTATGCGTGTGTGTGAAAATATAGCTAAGTTCCTTCAAAATACAAGACTCAGAATTTGTGGAGAGGGCTTATATAGGCCATGCTTGCTGCCCAATCCATTTATGTTCCTACATAATAACATATGTTCAAATCAAATCAAGACTCATAATTTAGTCGAAATGTTACCAGCTTAATTTATGAATTCAAAATTCCTGAATGACATTCTATATTGTATGAATTTGTGTTCACCAGTGAACCGTGTATGTTACTGGTATAATTATATATGACCACTGACCTACAAAACTAAGCAGTGTAAGAACCCTTCTTCCCGCCTTCTCAACGGCGTAGATTCCAATAAACGTACACAGAAAGTTAACCGAAAACGGAATACAGGACAACCAGATAGCCAGACTTGAAGGGAAACCGGAAACACGAAGAATACTTCCGCTATAGTAACTAAAAATAGAAAAAAGTGTCCGATTATTATCTCTCTAATTTACTTAAACTCTGAGGAAAAAATGTCACTGTATTTTATTAATTTACTTAACTGAAATGAATAAAACAGATAAAAGTCCTTCTTGATATTAACTGTTTAAAATGGTCTTACATGACAGTGTTTATTCCACAGAGTTGCTGAAAAAATTGAAGAAGACACCCCAAAACTAAAGCACGTCTGACAGGTTGTGTTTTTAACATCAAAACAAAACATTGGAACATGTCTGAAATACAAGTAAACAGACTGATAAGCACAGGAAGGAAAATGGGAGGTTACTGTTAAACGCCATTTGACTTTCTGATCTGAAGAGGTATTATGAATAAACATGAGTGAGTTTGTACGATAAACCCACACTGATCATTAAACATCACATTTTATAAGTATAATAAAATTGCCTCAATGATAGTAAACTGAATAACACCATCACAAAAACATACTATATTTGTTCTCCTCTCTGGTCTCTTCCACAGATTTCTCAATTTCTGACAACTCGACGTCAACATTGTCCAGTTTTCTGATCTTCTGCAGAGCCTTCCTCGCCTCCTCTACCTTGCCCCGTCCTACTAGCCACCTCGGACTCTCAGGAAGGAAGAAGAAGCCAAAGAACTGGATGACACTGGGGACACCAGCAATCCCTAACATATACCTATATACAAGTGAAGAGTGGTAGAGGTATGATCAATGGCTACATGACTTTATTCATGCTTTTTGAATTAAAAAATATAGGGGCAAAGAAAAAGGAAACACCCCCTAGAGAGAGAGAGAGAGAGAGAGAGAGAGAGAGAGAGAGAGAGACATTATTTTTTTGAAAATAAAATATAAGTCCTCACAACACATATCTTGGAGTTTGTCCGTTACAACCAGCGACACATAATTCTACTGTAACCCTCCATCATTGTATGTTTACTAACCTCCATCCGTTTTCTTTGTCAGTGCTGAAGGCCCCGGCAATGATACTAGACAAAAGGATCCCCACTGTGATAAAGAGCTGATTCACGGTGACTAGTGATCCACGGATGTGAGAGGGAGCTGCCTCAGCCACATAAACAGGAACGGACATAGAAGCAAACCCTGTAGGACACCAGTAACAGACTTAGATACGGAATTAGAATGAATGCACGAGATTGATATTTTCTTAGGATGATGAAATATTATTTTATTTCCATAAATGCTACAGGTAAATGCCAAGGACGTTTATACTAACTGCTGATATTTTGCAAAGCGAGCATTTCTGAACATATTGATCAAATAAATTAACCTTAATAACAATAGTTATTTAAAAAAAATTAAAGTATTTTCTGTATCAAAGATAAATAATTTTTAGATTTTTAGATGCACAAACGTCATGACAATTTATCTACTTTTGCAGACAATTTTAGGTTAAAAATGATGCTTGGTAGGATTTTTTTTCTTCTCTTTTCATTAAAATCAGACAGTGTCGAAGAACTAATGCATGGATAGAAAATACCAAGCAATTTTATCATTTATGAGAATCAATGAATATATACCTGTTTGTATTAGTGAATTGTGTAATACTGTCATTTACATGACAAGGATACGGGACATTTGTCTTTGATTACTAGTAGTTACACCAAAAATTATACCATGTTTTGACTATAATGTCTTTAAAACAAATTAAAATACCTATCCCTAGCACCTCCATACAAAAAAAAAAAAAAAAAAAAAAAAAAAAATTTAATCATTTCTTTTTTATCAAATATTTTTTTCCTCCAATAAATCAACAAAATTATTTATTCGATATTTAGTAACCTAAAGATTTCTAAATTCTGTATGTGTTAAATTTTCCTATCATGTAATCATCTATATCTTTGGACTGACGTTTTAATAAGATAAAAGTAAGTCATTTATCTGTCAAATAGGTACTCCACTTGACGTCCAAAATTTATTTTGCTAATTTGGAATATTTCTGTTTCTAAGTGGACAATGCTTCCTCAGCAATTCTCTCTGTAGAGTTTGTTTACACCTATTTAAATTAAAAATTTACCTTTCTGAATTTCAGAGTTCTTTTTAATAGTACATGTTAACATTGGGTGTGCTATATGTGACGTGTATATATATATATATATATATATATATATATATATATATATATATATATATATATATATATATATATATATATATATATATATATATATATATATATATATATTTGCATACATTGATTCCGATTCCTTTGTCGTTGTGTATAAAATAATCACATAATTACATCTAAATCATGATATTCATGAAGTTGACACGGGACAAAACGTTTTCTCAAGATTTTTTGAAAAAATCCATATCATATAGAAATAAACATGACTGAACAAGAAAAAGGCATGCCTTCCTCGGGTATAGAACATATTTTGGTAACCTATTACCGCTCCTCGGTCGTTTTTGATCTATTTACTTATAAAACAAACGGTATTCTACATCCATCGGTGTTTGTCGATATCTCCGTGAGTTTCAGGTATTCAACTGAAGATTTCAGACCAAAACGATAAGACGACCATGATGTTTTAATCCATGTAGACCAACGCTTGTCAAGCTTCCTGAAGTACAGTGCACTTTGTAATAATAGAATAAATGAATACTTATTCCCTTGAACTCAAAAAGAAATACATACTACGGGATGCTAGATTAAATGAATTGTTGCTATATGGTGCCAATAATTTATCGGAACCTGCATGTATTTATAATTTTTTTGTCGGTGTACACATGCAAATGCATTTTTTAAATTTTAATGTCAGAGATCTGATTAGTACAGGAAGGACAAATTCATTTTGTGCCCTCCGCCTGATTTCAAAATTTAAAATCTTAAAATACTTTGGAATGCAACACTGGCAGTATCATGAAATATAATTGATCATAAGGAGCTTCTATCTTTCTGGCAGGAATTGAGTTTGATCGACGATAATATCAGTATCAAAGACTAAAGAAAAACTGTTAAATGGTTCGTCAGGAGCTTACTGTTAAAAGGAAATTTACTAGACCCTCTAAATTATAATATATTATATAGAGGTAATTAAGAAGCAGTTGCACTGGCCGATACCAATAAATGGAATACATGTACTACATATACATGTAGTACTTCCTTTTTCAGATAATTATGCTTGCATCGCCTCTTCTTAGTTGACATATTTCTTAGTTGCGGTCACTTTTGGGAAAATGAAGTTTATTTCTTAATCGTTTAAATAATTAGGTGGATTATTAGTTTCCTTATCATCACGTCTGGGGATACGTGTTCGAGTGTTTTTCGTGATGACAGGTGTTATCTATAAATAATAATCTCTGTACACAGTAAATTATGGGGAACTTTGATAAGGGCATCCCCCACTTAAACGACGGGTTTGCTTACACAGTTGGGACTGTGTGCCACTTTTAATCCTGTCTTCAATAATCCGACCAAGATATGGGCAGTGCCATAGAACACAGAAATGTAGAGCATTGAAGAATTCTGACATAATGATGCTTCTTCGAACACTTGTTAATTTTGATAGGTTATTTGCATGTAATCTAAGAGAAATTCCATAATACACATACGAAATGTTAGCGAAAGCGTATAGTATGAATAAGAGAGAATGAGTAAAAACTTTCCAAATCATATTGTATGCCAACGTGCTTTATCACTTATAGAAAAAAACGTAAACGTAATGTCAGGAATATTGCAGTGGTTTATAGAATGAGCCTCGTTCTTAAATATAAAATTCATTAAATTTCTTTGATAATCCAGATGAACTCGAACAATTACTTTACTTTACTTTTATCTGCGATTGAGTATGTGTTTAAAATCTACAAAACTTTTGAACAACTGGTTTACAGGTACAAATACATGTATTCGCGCATGCAGTTTCGTGTCATTTTTTTTTTTTTTTTTTTTTTTTTTTTTTTTGTCTTTGAAAAAAGGTATGTCTAAGATTTGTTGACATATAGTCTTATTTCGATATAAACTCGAGGAAACGTCAGCAACATTTAATTTTAATGTATATTAGGAAGGAAAAAATATAAAAATTGAAATATAAAGAGTATGATTACCAATTCCAGCACCCACAATTAACCGTCCAACAAGAAGAATTTCTTTTTTATCCACAGGCGAAATGGCCATAACGATTGCTCCAACAGTGAACACAAAACTAGCCAACATGATGACCTTCTTTCGCCCAATTTTGTCCACAAGGACTCCGGCGATGAGGGCAAACACGGCTGCTGCACCAATGGTAGAACTGACGATCGCACTCTGCCAAATTTCACTTAATTGAAAGTCATCCCGAATGAGAAGCATTGATCCGGAAATAATTCCCGTATCATAGCCGAATAATAGTCCTCCAATTGTTGCAAATACTGTAAGAACTATTACGTAAAATTTGGAACCCGATTCGTCTGGCCGATGTTCCTCCACTTTGAAGTCCTCTGCCATTTTTGTTTTTGTCTGAAAGAAGTTGTTTTCGTTGTATGTTTTTTTCTTTTGTACGCGAAATATAAAAACACAAAAAAAAAATAACTTGAATTTTTCGGAACTATAGATAATTAGAAGTCTTCTTTAATCCATTAACTCAGCCGTACTGTCAAGAATTGTGTTTTTCCTGCCAAAACTTGGTAGCTTAAAAAGAGCAGGAATCCCACAAGATCAATAATATCCGAAGAAACCTTATGAGAATGCCTATCAGGAGATGAAATTAAGTCTAGAAACAATCCCCCTTCTCCCGAGTCGAATGGGGTCAACTAATAAGAAAACGGGTCTTTTATCTGTTACGCGTTTACTTATATACCCAGATGCGATACCCGTTATCTATAAGTTTACTAGATCAGCCGCAATGTAAAATTTGCTTTACCAAATAAGCTGTTTGTTTTAGATTTAATTTCATGACTTACTTTTTAACGTTTTGTTTCACGTCTACAATCAATTAAGATATATTTTTTTAGAATTTAATTTCACACTTCAGTTGTCTACCATAAATATTTTGATAACTGAAAAAATAAATTTCTCAAATTTAACGAAATTCGAACTCATATCTGAAACAGAGATTTAATTTTAAAAAAAGGTTTTAACCCCGAGTACCAGCTTTACTTGTAGAGGAAATGTGATTCTTTTTTACTAGTCACAAAACAAAAGGCCAGTTAATTTCACATTAACATTGTGGTCCTATTTCACTACCATCCGTGCAACTTCCTTGAAATGATCCATGGGTTATTAATAAATCAATTGATAAAAGATTAGAAAATGTATAATAAGAATGACAAAGGCGTGTACATGTTACGTCACATGAATGAAGTATGGCGTGTTGTAATGTTGCACTTTGTTTCATCTTCTGTACCTTGACTATGTGTAACTCAAGTCACACCGTTCCTCGTTATCTCGAAACTTTTTAAGTGTTTTAATGACTAATGTCATGTCAATATTAAATCTGCATGGTATCCTTTACCATAATAATACTAATGACTGAATACATGTATCTGACGAACTCCAGATTTGGATACAAACTACTATGTAAATTACTCAAGTCCTTTAATAAAAAATGGCGTATACTCAACATAATTTATGTATATTATAAAAAAAAAAGTATAGTGTAAGGATGTAAGACATAATTTCGTTAAAAGTTTTGAAATCGTGAGTTGTAAATACAAAAATATATAAAGTATATAAATATATTAATTTTACAGATCAATCTAAAGAAAACGCGTACGATAACTACTAATTAAAATCACATTCAAATTTAAACATATACGTTGCATTGATGGAGAGCCATGAAACAGTTGACTTTTGAGACTTATTCCATATTAAGAGTTATCAATGGTTTTAAGGAAAGCGGATCTTCAGAATACTTCAAAAGTTAATTATATATCTCTTGCTTTATGTATCAGAAATATATGGTTTTCATAAGAAATAACGAGATCTTCGGTAGATGTCAATATTATTATATATGTAGCCCACATTGTTCCGTGTTTTTTTCCCCAAATATATTAGACATAAAGAAACAGAGGAGTGGCATTATGAAATAATTCATGTTTTATGTTTCGTTATAGTAGTGTGATTGTTGAGCAAAGACCAATAAAACAAAATAGAACAAAGTTGCAAACAACCAAGCAACCCTATTAAAATAAGGAACCAAATAAACACAAAAGTAACATACATGTAGGACACGAATAGATGTGCATAGAATATGTGTATGTTTGCTCATTGCATGTAAATTTGCATCAGATTTTATTAAAACTAGAAATATGTCCATAGAACATGAATGCCTAACCCAGGGTTCTTTAGTAATGCAGCATGAATTTTTTTAGTGTAAGAAGTTTGATGAAAATATCTTGAATATTTTCGTTAGTACTGAGTGTTACACTCAATAAATAGTATATAAGGTCAAAGGTCACTGGGAAGGTAATAAAAATGGACACAGTTGATAAATTCTCAACAAATTATGTGTCGTTGCATAAGCTTACATAAAAATATCCTGAATAGTTTCTTTGAAACTAAGCTAAATACAACTTTAAGAAAATTAAGGTCAGGGTCAAAGGCAAGATCAAGATTAAAAAAAAAAGAAAAGAAAAATAATGCAGGTCAATAGCACTCACCAAAATGTATCAGCATATAAAGTATGATAAAATTATCTTGATTGTTTTTTTTTTTACGAACAGACTTAAACACAAAATTGAGAAAAGGGAGGTCAAGGTCAAAGGAAAGATCAAGGTCAGAAATGTTGATACAATTGGATAGCTCTCATCAATATGTGTTAGGATATGAAGTTTGATAAAAATATCTTGAATTTTTTTTTTTTTTTTTGAAATTGAACTAAACACAAATTTTTGACAAGTAAGGTCAGAGTCAAAGAAAAGGTAAATGTAAAAAAAAAATCAATGCAGTTGAATAATTCTCAGCGATATGTATTAGCATGTTAGGTTTGATAAAAATATTTTGAACAGTTTTTTGAAACATCTGAACACACATGTACAATTTGAAAAGTGAAGTCAAGGTCAAAGGGGTCCAGATTTGTTGATGCAGTTGAATAGCTCTTACCAATATGTTTTAGCATGTGAGGTTTGATAAAAATGTTTTGAATAGTTTCTATAAAACTGAGCCAAACACATTTTTTTTAAAAGTGGTCCAGGTCAAAGGAAAGTTCAAGGAAAAATGTTGATGTAGTTTGATAGCTCTAATCAGTATTAACATATAAGGTTTGATAAAAATATCTTGGATAGTTTTTTTTTTCTTTTAAACTGGGTTAAACACATTTTTTTTAAAAGTGAAGTCAAGGTCAAAGGAAAGATCATGGTCAAAGAACGTTGATGCAGTTAAGTAGCTCTCATCAATATGTATCAGCATATGAAGTTTGATAAAAATGTCTTGAATAATTTCTTTGAAAACGAGCTGAACGCAAAGTGAGACGGAAGGACAGACGGAAGAACGGAAGACAGGCATGATCAACACTACATGTCCCGGCCACATTCATGGCGGGGCAAAGAAAAAAACTAAGATTAGATTTTGAAATGTTTTCAAACTCGAAGGACGACCAAATAGACGGACAACAAATAGTTTATCTATCAATTTTTATCTGCGATGAGTATGGATAAAAATCAATAAAGGTACTTCTATGAAATCTGAAATCTTTATTTGTAGAATGTAACACTTAAACCCAATTTCAAACCACAGTTTATATCAACCACCAAGTACGCAGCAATTTTGATTACCCAGTTTTTTCCTGTCAAAGCAAACAGACAAAATTACATAATCTGTACGTCTAAACATTCTGTGCTACAGTATGTCTTCTACAAGGGAGTAATCCATGGCACTGGAACACGGCTGGACTGTTAAAGGTTGAATTTAAACAGGCTCAGAGCTGGGTCGTCCAGTGTAAATGAGAGTCGGGGTCAGGTATTTCAGAAAACGAACCGCGATAAACAGTCCAGCAACGGAAGTATTTCAATCTACCTCCCCGGTAGTCGGTAAATGTATAAGTTTTTGGGACCGGTCTTCCACATGGAATTCTGCACCAGGAAGTAATGTGCTGACCTCTGTATCAGTGATGACTGACCAATTGGAATAAAGTACACTGAGGTTATCAAGGTTAAATGACGAATCAATGCAAGGATGATGAAAGCCATGCAACCGATCAATCATAATGCAAGGGGGAAAGCATCTCTTTCCTATACAAGTTATTTTATACATGCACGTATACATTTCTTGATTTATCTTCATTTATCAGAAAACAACTTTGGCATGAAATGTAATAAGAGACCAACAGTTAAATAATCTTTCTTAAAAGAATTCACATTTGTTGAATTATTATGCCCCCGTTATCGAAGATTCGGGGGCATATTGTTTTTAGTCTGTCTCTCTGTCCGTAAAAATTTAACCTTGCCCATAATTCTGAACAGTGGGTGCTAGTGTTTTCCCATTTCACATGTATATTCCTTGTGACAAGAATTTTCTATAATACCAATTAACATAGTTGACCTCTTGACCTTAACCTTGTAGTTTGACCTACTTTTGCAATATTTTACAAAACATTATAATCTTCGTCATAACATTTGAATACTTGGTGTTGGGTTCTCATATTTAATATGTGTATTTTTCATGACAAAACCTTTCTTTGAGTACCAACATTTTTTATCTTTGTCCTTGAAGTGTAACTTACATTTGCAAAACTTAAACCTTGACTGTCAAGCGGGGGGTATCAGTATTTCACAAATACATCTTGTTGTAATAATGTAATCGTACTGTAGTACTGTGAATTGCAGAATTTTATTGCAAAACAGAAGCAAACAAAAAGCCAATTCTTGATCGTGACTAAAAAATAAATAGATAAATACGTTTGCACAGAGTTTTATTGAAATTCTTTTCGAAGTATATCACGCTGTTTCCTGCATAGTAACGAAGATGAATGGGGAGATAAAGGGGGCGGATGGCTGTCAAGTTTTTAGGTTTCCATCGAACAAAAACACGTGCAATTTTGTCAAATAAAGATGATAGAAATGCATGTTTGATTTATTTCTCATTTGAAAGAGTTACAATCAAACAAAGCTAGCCACTTGGACTGATTATAATTGGAAACTGAGTAAGCATAGAGATATACGTGTAATTTCTGCAGCAAATATTTTTGCGTACAAACATGCATTTCTTTTCTAGTATAAAGAAGTTTCACCAAACTGATCATCTGAGCAACTATTATAAGGTGAATTTTCCTTTTCAGAATGGGTATGCGATCATAAAGTTGCTGTCATAATATAATCATAATATTACTGGTGTGTGTCCCTCACGGCCGATTCCACCTCTATTTTTCGATAGCAAAAAGATTTTGAATTGTATTGAAAGAAAATATCGTGAGACATTAGTTTTATCATTTTTCTAACCATTTTTGTAATACTAAATACAAAAAATTTGAAAACAAATAAGTATGGCACAATTTTCAAAGTCTATAATTATTTACAAAGAACACTAGCGAATAAGCCGAGAAAAATGGCCATG